CTGTCAAATCTTTCCGAAGGGTTCCCCTTTGGTATTTGTTACGCGAGTTTCCAATTTCGGCGCCAACATAACTAAATTTGAGAGGTGAGTGCTCGCCGAAAAAACATTGTTTTGTCCAACATATTTTAAAAGTTCTCAAATTGTCGTTTTTACCCTGTTTTTTCAAAAATTTGCCAGCTGCGCAGAAACTTTATGCTTGCTAAACAGGGTCCTCATACTGTTTTCGGAGATCTCGGCAAATCAAAATGATCGACCTAAAAAAAAGGTTTCGTTTTTTTTTCAATAATAAACTCTAATCTGGGAAATTCCAACCAAAACACCTGGTGCAAAAGGTGTTAGTTGTGTTCCATGCTGCTACTAAAACATTCAACTCTCTTAAATTGACATGATTAAATATATATTTCTAGTTTGACTTTTCGCATTCAGGTTCAGTGGATGAAGATGAGGACGAAAAAATAGCAAATTAAAAACTTTGTGTTCTAGCCGTGTGGTCTAGTGTTCTGGTTTACAGTGCTGGTTTGAATTATTAGGGGAAACGAAAAAGTCTAGAAATTAAAACGCCTACTTTTACCTCAAAACGGATCATTTTTGAATTTATTAGTCAATCAGAAAATACGCCAAAACTACGTATGGCAAATTCTAACAAAACTATCTCATTTTGAACCTCTTACGCAACAAAAAAAATTCAAGTGGATGAAACATAAATAAAAATGATGTTTTATAGAGTAAAAAGGATTCTTTTGGTCTATCTAACAAAAATAAATTAAATTATACAATTTTTTAGATATTGTGCCAGCATTGGAGTTCCATGAACAAAAATCGATCATAATTGAATTTCCTTGTCAGTGTCCACAAAAGTGAAATTAAATCGATTATAATCATTTAAAAATGGATCATAATATTGCTATTTTTCGAGGCAAAAAATCCTTTTATCACCCATTATAATCAATTTTTTTTCACTTTTGTGGACACTGACTATGAAACTAAATTATAATCGATTTTTTGCCACTTTACAGAGATGCGAATTTCAACGCACATAATGTCTTTTCCAAGTTTTAAACTAAAATTGGTTACGTTGTTACGTTGGTTACTTGTTGTTCAATTTAATTACTAATAACAATTTTCTTCTCTTTATTCTCACAAGATATCTAAAATCTTTCCAGATAATTTTTGTTGAGATAATTTATCTTCCATTGAACCCCACTCAGTTATAATTTGAGGCTTAAATCTCAGAAAAAAGAAGCTGAAGTGCTTTTTTAGCATAGATAGAATTTTTAATGATTTCAAAAAGACACAAGTACATAATTTTTGTTGGAAAAATTTTGTTCTTAAATCTTACAAATCGAACATTTTGTAGGAATTCTAAAAAATCATAAAAGCTAAGTTTTTGAGTTCCAATAAGGGAAGGAGTGCAAAAGCAAGTTCGCACATCAATTACTAGTTTTAAAGATCATTAGCATCAAACAAATTAGCCGATAAAAAATAATTTCAAGAGAAAAAGAAAACTTTTCAATATTATTTGTTCCGAATGGAATCAGTTTCTCTGACAATAATTTTTCATTGAGAGAATGCTGAGAAGCGTTTTTGTTTTTTTGCCTCTCAACAATTCAAATGCAGTTATTCCATGGTTTTCAGCAGTTTGCTTCTATTAGATAAAAAATAGCTTGTTCTTTGTGTAAATAAAACTAATTTCATGTTTTTTTTTGCTGCAACAAAATCTAAGTGCAGTAGTGTGCCAAAGATGAGGGGAGATGGACAGGCCTCCCTCAATTCTGGCTGTCAAATTTTTCCGAAGGCTTCTCCTTTGGTATTTTTTACGCGAGTTTCCAATTTCGGCGCCAACATAACTAAATTTGAGAGGTGAGTGCTCGCCGAAAAAACATTGTTTTGTCCAACATATTTTAAAAGTTCTCAAATTGTCGTTGTTTTTACCCTGTTTTTTCAAAAATTTGCCAGCTGAGCAGAAACTATATGCTTGCTAAACAGGGTCCTTATAGTGTTTTCGGAGATCTCGGCAAATCAAAATGATCGACATAGAAAAAAGGTTTCGTTTTTTTTTCAATATTAAACTCTAATCTGGGAAATTCCAACTGAAACACCTGGTGCAAAAGGTGTTAGTTGTGTTCCATGCTGCTACTAAAATACTTAACTCTCTTAAATTGACATGATTAAATATATATTTCTAGTTTAACTTTTCGCATTGAGGTTCAGTGGATGAAGATGAGGACGAAAAAATAGCAAATTAAAAACGTTGTGTTCTAGCCGTGTGGTCTAGTGTTCTGGCTTACAGTGCTGGTTTGAAATATTAGGGGAAACGAGAAAGTCTAGAAATTAAAACGCCTGCTTTTACCCCAAAACTGATCAATTTTGAATTTATTAGTCAATCAGAAAATACGCCAAAACTACATACGTCAAATTCTAACAAAACTATCTCATTTTGAACCTCTTACGCAACAAAAAAAATTCAAGTGGATGAAACATAAATAAAAATGATGTTTTATAGAGTAAAAAGGATTCTTTTGGTCTATCTAACAAAAATAAATTAAAATACACAATTTTTTAGATATTGTGCCCGCATTGGAGTTCCATGAACAAAAATCGATCATAATTGAATTTCCTTGTCAGTGTCCACAAAAGTGAAATCAAATCAATTATAATCATTTAAAAATGGATCATAATATTGCTATTTTTCGAGGCAACAAAATCCTTTTATCATCCATTATAATCAATTTTTTTTCACTTTTGTGGACACTGGCTATGAAACTAAATTATAATCGATTTTTTGCCACTTCACTGAGATGCGAATTTCAACGCACATAATGTCTTTTCCAAGTTTTAAACTAAAATTGGTTCCGTTGTTACGTTGGTTACTTGTTGTTCAATTTAATTTTTTTCTACCTAACTTGGATATTTTTGTTACTTTTTTATGTTACTCAACATAACCCCCCCTAGCGTTTGCCCAGTTACAACAAACCCAACCCGCCCCCACGTAGGTTCAGGTAGGGGAAAGGTGTGTTAAGGTGGGGGGGGGTTCAGTGGGGGAAGGGTTAGTGGGTTCAAGTGGGGGAGGGGTGGGTTCAGGTGGGGGGAGGGGTTCAGGTGGGGGGGGGGGGGTTCAGATGGAGGAGGGTGTGGGTTCAGGTGGGGAATGGGTTGGGTTCAGGTGGGGGAGGGGCTGGGTTCAGGTGGGGGGTGTTTAGGTGGGGGGTTGTTCAGTTGGGGGGATTGTTCAGGTGGGGGAGGGGATGTTCAGGTGGGGGGTGGGGGTTCAGTGGGGAGAGGGAAGCAAAGGGGCAAACATTAGGGGGATTGAAGGGGATCAAAGGGAAAACGTTCTCGGAGGGGGGGATAGAGCTCAACGGAATTTTTTGCTATTTGAGATAAGGTTTTGAAATGGATTTGGTCGTACACTTGCTTTGCAAAGTTTCTTCATCACGCATTTGATAAATCCATTTTAATTTGATTTCCTACTTATTATAAAATCCATTATAATGGATTCGAAATGAACTATAATGCATTTTGTTTTGGCAAGAAAAAACGGATTTAAATCCATTTCAGTCCAATTTTGTTGTCTGAACGTAACATGAGAATTGATTATATTTACAACATTTTAGACCGCGAAACTCCATTATAATCGATTTGTTTTCACTTTTCTTAAATGCGGGTGTCCTTCTTAAATTGTTTTGTGCGGCGCAACAAACTCACTAGGATATATTTTCTTTATTATTTGACATGCTATTTTTGGCGTAAAAATTGAATTTCCATTTTAGAGGTAAAACTTTGGGCCCGAATTTTGTGAAAGATATTATATGCACTTCAATAATTCTGCTAAAATCTTAAGATTTTTTTAAAGTCAAGTCAAATTGAGAAAAACGCGAATTAAGTTTCAAGTTTCATGGGTTATGTCTGGATAGTTTTAATCAAGTCGCAAACAGCTCAAAAATTTTGAAGCTATAACCTCAAACTTTTTGTTTGTGAAGCTGATAAGCTTAAATACTTTTTATGGCGCGGAAAAACAACAGAAAAAATAATCGAAAAATTTATCGATCTGGCGTCAATAAATGGTCTTTTTCGTTTTGCGATGCAGACCTTAAAAAATTTTCAACAATATTCAGTGGTAACATAATTGCTCATGATGAAATTGTGCACAGATTGTAAGGGTCATATTTCCAAAACAAGACTTCTCTTATATCAGGGCAAAGCCCTGAATGTTTCGGCTGTTAGTTAATCTATATCGAATAGATTTTGGGCAAATTAAATATTGAAAAGTTAAACATTTCGGACAATGTCAAAGTTGGAGTCGTACGAAATTATCACTACCGATCAGTTAGCCTCAATTAAATTTGGAACTATTTTGTTCTGAGGGATAATTCGCCAAGTATTCATTACTCGCGTTACGTTTTCAGCATTATGAATAAAATCTTTAAAGTGCGCATAAGATAGTTCAGAGGATGGCCAAGCTTGAAACTCCCATTTTACATAAAATATCTTTTCACATTTGATTTCATAGAGTCGACATCTTCAATAGATTTAAAATAAGAAAAAAACTATTGATTTCCATCGCCGAAAATTGAGTGAATAAAAAAAACCACACCAAGCATAAATATTCCAGTTTTTCTTTAAAGTCGAAACAATAATTGCTGGAATAGTCTTTTAGTTGGCTTATTTTGATCCTCAGTGCAAAATAACGCATATATAATTTTTGAAAACCAGTTATATGTCTTTTTTGAATGCCAGATCTTTTTCATTTATTTTATCTGTCGTTTTTCCGCGGCATAAAAAACAGATCACGCTCATCGATAAGTTGAGCTCATAAATAAAATTATTTGTGTTGTCTGCGAGAAAATTTCCATTACAAGAACACCTCTGAAACTAATTATGACACGCCTTCAAAACTAAATTTCTCAAAAATTGATCCAAATAAAAACTTCATTGATAAGAGAAATGACTCTTTCTAGCATCTGTTCATCTCTTGAAAAAATTTTGAGGACAAAGCCAACTCAAATAAATTTTTTTTATTGTTTTAATGAAGATCAAATCAGTTACAATTGAAGCTCATATGAAATAGCGCAGATTGTCCCTCTCTTCCGGGGTTTATGGAAAAGATTAAAATCAGCACTGAGCTTATATCTGATTTTTAAATTCTTAAGTGCAAAATAAAAAATAAATAATCTAAAGATTCAAAGGCTTTCCATGCGTGTTGAAATCTAACTCAAAAATTCTGTTTTGTTTTGATGCGTTCGAAAGTCTATTTTGTCCGCCGTTTTTGTTGACATTTTTGCATTATTCATGGACCATGTTTGGACATCATTACACATACGACACTGAGAATACTGGCGACAGTGAAGAATATACACCCGATGATGATGTCGAGTACTTTGGCAATGAGCTGCCACTCGGCTATCACTGACGACTGTTTCTGCTTGTTGTGTTGTCGCTTGTCGAACTCATATCGGTATGAGTCGAACTTTCCGAGTATATTGAGCAGACGTTTCAGCTGCAGCTCGGAGGGCGTAGATGCATCTCCCATCTTCCTACTGTTAACCAAACGTCGAAAATCGCTATTGTAATTAGAGAAAAAACATTTTGATGTTTTTTTTTCAAACTCATCAAACGTGATCATTTTAATATTACACATAAATATAGTTTCAATTTAAGTTGCTAATATTATTTTTCCAGTGTTTCGTCTCTCCACAATCACCAATATAGGCCGGAGTGCATTTAGGTTTTTCTTTGGAGAGGGGCTGATTTTCAAAAACAAAATAGAAAAATTGATTGACTATTGTTTTTGAGGTCGATCAAGTTGATTTTCAAAACAGAGCTTTCTCAAAAAAATTTTGTTAGATGCCACAGTCAATTTTTTTTTAAAAGCAGTCCAAAAAGTCTTTCGTCACGCGCTCCCCGTCAAAGTCAGTATAAAAGCGCCAAAGGCGCCCTTAAAAATTTTAGTATCGGTCCGCCGAAGATGCGTGTTGTTTAAAAGTACCTAGAAATAGTGAGCAGAAAGAGGTGTCATCCCCTCTCCCCTAGATCCGCCCCTGAACATAGGCACAATATAAATAAGGTTTCGAGAAAATATTATTCAAATATCTGCAAAGAAAAGAACTATTATCCTATGTGCAATAAAAGGAAAATTTAGAAACTTCATAACAATTATTGATAATTATTGATTGACAATTATTGTTAATTATTGATAATGAACCATTATTACAGCTCATATGCATCATGAAATAATACTTGCTTGATGTTGAGCAAGGCTGGTTTTGGGGATGCGATCTCGTTGGTCATGACACTGACATTGCCCTGTCCCTTGTCCCCACAGTCCGCCAGGTCTCCCGGCAGAGTATGACGGAGGAACTTTATCTTTAGGATGAGTTGCATGGTGCGGAACACACAGGTGCGCAGCCAAAGGGGGGCTCGACTCGTGTCCGAGTACTTGAAGTGCATCGTCAACGTCAGAGCTGTCTGAAATCGAACAATTATCTATCTTTAAAGCTATGATTAGTCACACTGTCACACTATAAGTCATAAGATTGTCTGCTGACACTTTTCAAAAACCACAGTAAAAGTTTTAGTGTGTTAATATGAATATAATTTTTTTGTTCTAAAAACATTAAAAAGCTCAAAAAAAAAGCTGAGACCCTAAGCTTTTAGCGTTTCAAACATTAAAATCTTCGGCGACTGAAAAAGTTTTTTTTCTGGTTAATTTTTTGATTTTTGAAGATTAAAAAACGGCTTGGGGTTTTCATATCCGCATAGCACAACAGGTTAGAAAGTTGAAATTTAGATGGAATCTGAACATGTTTTTTGTGCTTCTGGAAAAACTATACAGTTTGGCTTCGCAATGCGACTGCTTATGACATAATAAAACATTTTTGCTTTCCATCTAGGACACTTTTTTCAGATAATCGTTTAGTATCATCTTCAGTAAGTTTTGTTTTATTTAATTTCGTTTTCATCACTTGACTTGGGGCATCTGCTCGCAGACCATGTTGGATGTGAGGTGTGCACCACTCACCTGAAAGAGGGAGGAGGCGATGAGGAAGATGCACATGAGGTAGTAGTAGCCGATGTAGGGGTAGTGTTTGCTGGTGTTGGGGATGTTGTTGGCCACAGTGAGCAGGTTAATGTAGAAGGAGAGCATCATGGACATGCTGAAGGTGATCTTCTCACTTGAGCTGTTCGGCAGCAGAAACACGAACATCGACACCAGACTAACCACACAGCATCACGCACTTCCACTTCCGCCAAAATAATTGCTGTTAACATCCTAAGTTTGACAGGTTGCAATAGTCAAGTTTTTTTGCCTTCTTATGTCAAATGGATTTGAGGTAGTATTGAGATCTTTCCGATTGTTAAATAAACGCATTGTAATTATCTTAAAAATTAGCTAGGAATGGTTTTTCACTGAAGGAAGTTAAATCTGGTGATTTTTGAGAAATGCATAGTTTGTTGAATAAAAAATGTTTTTATTTTCAGTCAAAACTTCCTACTTTCAAGCCTAGTGTTTAAAAATTAGAAAGCTGAAAAGAAAGTTTTATGAGAAAGCCATACAGAACATCTTTGATGTATTGTATGGCATTCAAAATTGGCGGAAGAATGCAAGTGCCTGATGAGGATGGTGGGCACGACTATGATGATGACGTAGAAGCGGGGCTTGCGGGCGAAGTAGACCTCGAAGTAGATGCCATTCTTCTGTTGCACCTGGTTGGTCACGTGGTCATGGATGGGGATCCACTTGTTTCGGGGAGTGGTGCCCACCAGACTCCACTCGGGGTGCTCTATTAAGTTTACTCCTGTTGAGATGGCCTGAAATATCATTCAGTTCACATGTATCTCATTTTTTTAGAAGGAACAAGTTTGCAGATAAGCATGGTGTGAGGATGAAGATATTAAGATATAGTTTTGAAAGTTCATACTTGGTTTGATGCAATTATGATGCAGGAGGTTTGCAAAAATGTCACTTTGAGCTTTGTTTGTTCTCTTAATTTTATCCTTGCGAAGTATTTATTTTTTTCATAAGTAACCAACAATAAAATGACTTGAGTGACCGTGCATGAGTGACTCTGCGTTTTAAATGCTCCCTCGAAGATATGAGATTGGAAAATAATGCAAAAAAATGTTTATCTGAAGTTCAATTATCTTTTTTTACAAATTTCAAATTAAGTATTATTGGGAATGTCGAAATGCAATTCGTTGATTAAGCTTATGGGATCTTCTGGAATACAATTTACCTCGTTAGAAGTCGCTATGGACACTTTCTGAGAAAATATATAACATATCGAACTTGATGTGGCACCTTACTGCAAGACCAGCCACAGGTTTTCAAGTTGCAACTCTAATGTTTACGGCGTACTGTTTAACTAAATTAACCCATGAAAACTACAAATGCTATTTTCTACAGTGCTTCATTGTGTTACGCATACCAATTTTTGCTCCTCGCGACTTTTCTAAAAAAAATGAACTAATTTGAATTTTCTCCGAGAACCAGACACAATCAGGTCTTCTTTGCTCTTCAAGATAATTTCGCAAAATCTGTTTCTGGTACAAGTATCTTCTGGCAATTTTGTCTCAAGTTTGAAACATGGAAGCTCGATTAAACTTTTGTTCCATCTTTCACTTTTGGGTGGTCATACTAAGCTGAAACTATTCAGAACAATTTTTTTTCTCAAAACCTAGGAAAGATAACAATACTTTTTCTTTGTTGAAAAATGAATACTATAGATGAAGCTAAAAAAACAGTCATGGCATGAAATTGTTCCTCTTATTGGCAAATTTTCAGTGGCGATATTTTTTATCAGGGGAGGATCTAGGATTTTCTCGAGGGGGGGGGGGCGGATTTTCAAAAAATGTTCCAAAATTTTGACGACCTTTTTCTTTTTTAGGTCGACCAAATTGATTTTTCGAGCTCTCCCAAAACACTGTTTTGACCCTATTTTGGCTAAATTTTCTGCGCCGCAGGCAAAGTGTTGAAAAAACAGTCAAAAAAGCCGTTTTTGGGGACTTTTTGAACAATTATGACAAAAAAATCGCGTTTTTTTTTAGCGCGCGCTCCCCCTCAAAGTTAGTATATATTGGCGCCTAAGGCGCCTTTAGAAAAATTTTAGCGTCGGGCGGCCAAAAATGGATTTCTGAAAAAGTATCAAAGGGGGGACCCTTTGGGTCGGCAGGGGGTCGAATCCCTGAGGGGGGAGCGTCCGCCCCCCCCCCCCCGCCTCCCCTTAAATCCGCCCCTGTTTATTATTGAAGTAGTTTCTTGAAAGCTATAAAGTGCTGTTTTAACTTATAAGTTATCCAGAAAAACAAATAAAACTGAAAATTTAGATTTTTTTTGTATTTTGGGGGGGGGGGGGTGAAGTTGGGACAAAAAAGGATAGTCTCAAAAATTATTAAAAGATTTGAACAAAATTTACGGGGTATAACATTAAATCGCTGGCTATAACCATCTGAAAATGGGTCCGAGTATTTGTAATGTTTGCATTTTGAAATGAGTGTTTTTACAATACAAAGTGGCAACTTTTAGTTTGAAAGCAAACTCAAAGAAATGCAACTGATCGTTTCAAGGCGAAGTCTTGAATAATTTGACTGCTATTTAACGCTGATTAAAAAATTTGGGTACATAAATAATAAAATCATTAAAAAAATAATTCAAAAAAAATCGTTCTTTTCCTCCTCCAGCTCCTCCCACGCGCAACGTAAGGTACAAAGCGATTAAGTTTTATTATGGCATCGTCTTATTTTTAACCGAATGGCATCAATTCAATTCAGAATAGTTTTTTGTCGCAAATACTTTAGTCGGCCGAAACATCAAATTTTAATTCGACCAAATTGACAAAAATGGCAACTTTTGAGATTCCATAACTGTACAAAAATGATCGAAAGTGCAATATAATTTAACAAGCCTGCTCGTATCAAAGCAAAACCCTGAATATTCCGAAAGCCCTTTAATTGTTTTCGAACAGTTCTTGATAAATTAAGTTTGCGAAAACTATGAATTTTCAGCTGATAATATCAAATATTAAGTTTTGCGTGTGGAAAAATGGTTGGGCCCATGCAGATCAAGGAATCAAGGGAGTAAAGAATAAAAAAAAACCATTCCGAGCGTACATACTCCTCATTTTCTTGAAAAGTCGAACAAAGAACTTTGGGCGCAGAGCATCAATAGTTTTCAGATATATTGAAAAGGTTTCCGCTAAAAATGGCTGGTTAAAAAATTGTCTATAAAAGAAAAACACCGAGAGCAAAAAAAAATAGTTTTTTTTTCAAAATTCAGTTAAATCAGCCATTTTCCAGGCATTCAATCCTTATGAAACGTTTGTTAGCAAACAAAATTATCATACCACTCTAAGTTGAATGGCGCCAAACTAAGTAATAGGTCCAACAAATTGATACTAGACGCCGAATGTGTCGCTTTTTGTACTGGGGAGAAAAATTTAAAATTGAACGAACTTAATTTTTCATTTTCTTTCTTTTTTTTCAGGGCCTCGTCATAATAGCAAGAGTTTTGATTTCTGATAACACTGTGCCTTCTCTCAATGTCTTTAAAATTGTTAGATGAAAACGATATAAGAAGGAGTAAAACTAAGATGGGAGCAGGAAGTCAGGTGATGCATAAATAGAACTGACCCCCATTGAGATCTTTATATCCCTGTCGAAGTGGTTGAAGGATCCGATGGCGAACATGCATGTCTGGGTGTCCCAGGGGAAGTTCCTCGTGTTCATCTCACACTGAACAGACACACTCATCGGCTTGAACCACGACACCATGCCCTTAACACGTCACACACAAAGTATTGCCTAAAGTTCGCGCAAAATTCTAAAAGCTGGTTACGAAAAATGTCGCCGAAAGTTCGCTCAATTACCGAAAGTTGGACGCCAAAATGGTCGCATGAAAAATGTCACCTAAATGTCTTCAAGTTGTACATGCAAAAGTTTTTGGTGTTCCTGCTAAATTTTGGCGTTTTGATTGTTTCTAATTCTTGCCTAAAAAAGCTACCTTGCCTTGGAAAATCCTAGTAGCAGTTTAACTTACTACTTTAAAAAAAGCCCAGAAAATCAGTTTGTTCGGATGAAAAGTTCGAAAATGTCAGTACTTTGTTTTCTGAAGTTTTCATATGAAACAGAAGCCCTAGTACTCCTGGTGGAGAAGTGTATCTTACATTATAAGTGACTGCAGCCAGTATCTGAGTGACGTCCTCAATGATGGGATTCTTGTCCTGCCTATTGGCAATGACGATGTCCGGAACCCAGATCCTGTTGGGGTTCACGAAGATGGCTGGAAACCATTAAAAAATAAATAGAATTAATAGCAAAAAAAAATTAGGAGGGCTTTCTAGTTGAACAATTCTTTGGTTCTCTTTCGAAATTAGATGTTTCCAGGTCAACCGTGATCCAAGATTGTTTCTTTTGAGGTGAGGCACAAAAATAAGCGGCCCAGAAAACTGAGCAAAAACCATTGCATCAGTTTTCCGTAATGAGCTGAACAACCCGCCCATTAATGCTCTCCCTCGCCAATAAACAATCTTAATATATGCTGAATAAAGCTGCTCCTGCCTGATCAAAATTTGTACAAACCGTCAAAAAATTCTATAAACTTCAAAGCATTCGAAAATGCGTTGGGAATATAGCTAATTATTTCAATTGCTAGGTAACCAAATGCAAATTACCTCTCATCGTTTTTATACTTAGCTTCAGTAGCGTGCAGAGGGAGGAGGGCGGAGAGAGGGGTCTTCTTTTGGTATTTTTGGCCCCCTTTGGTATAGTTTTATGACGTCCATTTTTCGCTGAACAACTTAAAAATTTTTTCTGAAGGTGCCTTGGGCCTCAAAATGACTAATTTTGAGGGGGAGAGCGTGCGCCAAAAAAGAACGCAATTTCTTAGTCAAAAAGTGCCTAAAAGCGCCTTTTTTGGCCTGTTTTTTTTTGGAAAAATTGTCTGCGGCGCTGAACGTTTTTCATAAAATACAGTCCTTATACTATTTTAGGAGAGCTCAGAAAATTTAAATTGATCGATCCAAAAGAAGAAGGTCGGCGAATTTCTCAAAAATTTTCGAACCCCCCCCCCCAGAAAAATTTCTGCGCACGCCACTGCTTAGCTTATGGAGAAATTTTTTTCACTAAAACCTACTTCAGACACATGAGCCGCATTCGAAGCATTCGGTGCTTCGCCTTATTACGAGGTTGCAATTTAACTTCTTCTATTGTTCCTTTCCTTAACCGGCGATAAAAAAAATCTATTCACACTGTAAATAATTGTTTGGCAAAACCATCTGCAGGGTAAACTGAATTATACGTTTATCAGAAAACCGTCCAAATAATTGATTTCATCTTTTTAATAGATCCAAAACATATCAATAACTTCTTTAATTTTATAAACGATTAATTATTTCTGAGGAGAATGGCAAAATTTACGAAAACTTTATTCTGTTTTTCCCTAATGAAAAGAATTTTCTTCGTCTTACGGAGAACGCGACCGATTATATACTCCCGGGTAGAGGCGACGATAAAATGTTTTTTTTTTACAGCTAATTCTACTTATGTACAGATAAAACGCTAAGTCAAAAATGGATGAACCTCAAAGTTAAAACACGAAAAAGTGAGTAAGCATTCTCTGTGCGGATGAAAAAGAGTACATCAAGGTCATAACGTCAGTATCAGCTATAAAAAAATTGCAAATATCTAGAATGGTAAGATAAAAATACTGCAACTCACAACATTCCCCTTGATAGCGGAAAAAATTACATACTTAATTAAAGGTAACTGACACTTTTCTCCCTGAAGGAAGCTGAAGGAAATTTAACAAACAACATTCGATATGCACTAGGTTAAGCACTATCAATAACACAACAAAACTATTGTTTGATATAATAAGCTATTAATTTATTTTACTAACTGGTTTGTCGGAGTAGATTCTACGGAGTTTACCACATAAGAGTTACTAATTTAATACAAAGAAGGAAGAAACTTTTTTTAGCAGTGCAGGTGTGTACAAAGAGATCCAAATTTCAAATCGGTAAAAAAGCTAAATTAAAGGAAAGTTGGCAAAAGTTTACTGTATCAGTTTTTCTCATCTTCTAAAAATTTCCAGAATAGCGTTAATCAATTCACTGTCTATTTTTCCGATTTCGTTAAAGTTGTCCAGAGCCACTTTCGAGGATTGATCTGTTGAAAAAGGGATAGTAAGTCCACTGAAGAAGTGTCTGAGGAGTTAGCCGTACTGTCGAGGGAGTGTACCGAGAAAATTGGGATTTTCTCATCCAATGGAGTTGGGGAAGATGTCGTTCCGTCAGATCCCGATTATTCATGATGGTCGAAGATGAACGGGTGGGTTTGTCACTGCTCCTGACTGTTCGTCTTGACATATATAATGTCTATAGAAAGTCTTTTATCACTAGACTGAGGAGGTCCTACATTTCAGCCGGAACGGCGAAGTTTGAACTCGTTACCGGTGACGTTGTTGTAGTTACAAGACTCTTGGGTAGCCGTGTTCTCGTCTGAAGAATCGATTATGTCGCAGATTGGGAAGGCTCTACTCGCGTCTTTTTGTGAAGTCTCCTGTTTATCCGGCGGACTGCCGGGTTGTCTGGCCTCTGTAGTTGTTATAGACTGTGTGGTTGGTGGAAGTTGAGTCCGGCTGCCTCCTGCGGGAATGACGCTGATTCGGCATTCCAGTGAATCCGATGATGAAGTTTGGCCATCAAAAATCTCAGTTTCTATTGTATCCCGAGCTATATGTGAGTCTAGGGTCGGAATATTAGGTTCTGGTTCTCTAAAAATATCGGAATTGATACGTTCTCTAATCATATCTCTGCAAGGGAAACCTCCCGCAATCCCTTCCTAATCACTTATGTCTGAGGTATCCGACAGAATTGACATTGATTAATCGCATGCTAAGTAACCTGTGTTTGTGATCTGTTTCTTGTCACGTGAAGGTCTGTTTCTGTCCGGTTTGGCTGAGATTTTTGAGACTCTGGTCCTTGTGTCGTTATCGGAGGCCGCTAACTCAGTTTGGAGCCTTGTCTTCGGGCCTCTTTTTCTGGTAGTTGTTTGTTTCGTTTTCTTAGTCCGATTTGAATCTATTTTAAAATCAGGGTCAGAAAGTAACATAAAAATTTTTTTCCTCTAAAGGAACGAATAGCAGACGAGTTAGGTTTCGGAAGAGTGATGACGCATTTTCTGATAATTTAAATGTCGGACAATTCTACCGTAGTTTTCAAGCGTTTATAACTTTCTAGTTAAATTTTCCATAAAAGAGGGTTTCCGTTTATGCTCTTCTTAGTTTTTTGAGGTATATTTCCTTTGAAAGAACTTTGTAATGGTATTTGAGACAATGAAGGCGTGGATGCTGAGTGGTAGTCTGGCTCGTAGCCTTTCTCCAACGGAAACTGGTTTTTCTTCGGGATTATAGTGTCCTTATATCCATCCTCGACCCGCTCATCAGAGTTCCAGTCAAGTGCCCGTCCTTTGCTTAGGATTGATTTTTTTGTCTAATATTCCATCGGATAGGTTATTAGAGGGTAATTATTGCCAGATCGTGTTTGGTTTTCTATTGAAGTGTATTTGAAAAGGTGAACATTTGATTTTTGGTTGGAAAGATGAACGAAGTTTCCAGATAATTTTTGAGACTGCGTGTTGTGAAATCAGTTTTTGATGTTCGTGAGGCTTTGCTAGTAATTTAATTTTTACAGACTGTACAAATTTTTCCACTAAGCCAATCGAGCGATGGTCGCCAACTGAACAAAAGATTTATTTAAATATTTTGTAATCACAAAAAAAATTCAGAATACTGGCTAGTAAAACAAGATGCCTGGTTGAATCGGGTAGAAAAGGGAATGCCGTGTAAATAAAATTAATCCTGAAGGAATTCAATGACTGCATTTGATGAAACGGAAGATTTCATTTTAGCCGAGGGATATTTTGAAAACCTGTCTATGCTTAAAAAATTTATGCATTTTTTCCCCAAACGGAATCCAAAGGACCGACTAAATTGAGATTTTTTTTCTCATTAGGCTCAGACAAAGATGATATTTTGCTGATTTGGGTGCAAGGACTAATACATATTACATTCTTACCAGTTTTTGTGCGTTGAGAACAGTTTCTTCCGTGAAAATAAACTTGATGGTTTATGTAAGGCCACCATATATACTGGGCGAGGTATTTCATGCCGAATTGTCCCGGATGCTTTCAAACTTGATCCCGGATGTTTTCAAATTTGATCCGATAGCATTACAGTTCAATTTTTTTGTTATCTCTAGGATATAATAACTTGTTGATTTAATTGATTGTAGCAACTACAAACTCTTCGTTGTAATGTGATAGGATTGATTTTCTTAAAGGTGCTCTTGAAAATAAATCAGTCAAAGCTATATCTTTCCTTGCCAGGTGTTTATTTGTAAAACTGAACGGTAAAAGCCGATCGACCCCACTCGTTGAACAAACTTGATATGTTTTCTTATTTATGTGGTTAGGTGAAAGTGTCGAAAGAACGGCTTTATGGTCAGTATTGATTTCAATTTCCGAGCCGTAAAGTAAAGCAACCAAAATGTCATCGAGGTACCAATTAGTAAAAGGAATGTTTCCAATTGTTGAGTCCATGACTCTCTGGAATTCATTCGGCACGTCACCAATTCCGTAAAAACCGTTTAAAAATTGGTATGTGCCGGTTATGTCCCCACCTACCAAGCTAAAATTGAACTGGCTATTAGTAAAATTGTCTAGTGAGAGTTGGGTATAAGCGTTCTTTAAGTTCAATTTGGTGAATCAGACGTCTCCGGTGGAGTGGTTAGAAATTTGAGAGGCAACATTATCAACTAATTAATTTATATTAGGTGGTTTTAATGGTTCAGGAAAGTGGGTAATTTTTGTTTTTTTTCCATTCCGAAGGATTAATTGCTTAAATAACTTGGTTAGAATATCTATCACTTTTTTCTATTAAAATAAATTAGTAGACTTTCGATTCTTCTTGGTCTGGTAGTGAGGAAAGTGTTTCTGAGAGATTTCGATTCCCACTTTTAGCAGATTATAGTTTCCTAGAAACTTTCTCTCGTGACCTTCTGATAAGAAAAAGCGATATTCAAGGTGAGACCATCCGTTCGAAAAAATGGGGTTGATTAATTTGTCAGTGATGTTTATTGTGTTATCTGTGAATCCACAGAATACGTCATTCGTCAATTAATTCACCGTATAGATCTTCAAGTACGGGTTTGTTAGTTTTATTTCATGGAATACATTTTTTGAGAAATCTCACATGGCTGGCGGAGTCGACCTGTATTTCGAGGATTACTTGTTGTTCTTTTCCGAGTTTATTAACCTTTGAGTTCCTTCCCTTGGTTATCGAAAATAGCTTTTACATTTAATACAGAGTAATCATCGTTCTCGCTCTGTCCGGATTCCGACCATGCGTTTACTCCAAAACGTTCTTTATTTACACAGCTGTTATTTAAATCTGGTTGTTCTGATAGATAATTACAATCTGTTTCATTACAGTTTGACTATCTACTGTTTTTACATTTTTACGGCGTGAGTTACAAAGTCTGGAAAATTTCCTCTGCATTTAAGGAAGGTACAAATTGTGCCTTTTACTCGACACACCACCAGGTGGTCTTTGGAGAATGTGCAGCCGCATTTCATACAACTGTTACACCGTTCAATATTTGGAGTTGGTTTCCTTTTTACATTAAAATGAATAAAAGGTTTGCTTACAGATGCTTATAGAAAATTTGTCTTTTTCATATGTTTTTTTTCATCGATTGGTGCCACATTTATACTTCTAGGGGTGGGACAAATTCTGCAAGAAGTTTCCGTTGGATGAGTTAAGAGTTCTTCTTCTTATTAATAAAAATGTCTCTTATCCATTCATCTTCTCCTGAGGACATGTCTCATCTCCTTGCCATTTCGACAGGAGTTCGCTGAAATTTTTCCAGTGATTCTCTATCTCGCAGTTTCCTATTT